CAGCAGGAAAAGTTTGGATTAAACAGCTGCCATTCTGCCAACACACAGTGACAACCTATAGCAACCTGGAGACTCAGAATGTAAAATTCTGTAGCAAGCTGTAGATGAATTACATGCCAAATTAACATATGCATGTTGGCAAAATGCTTCTACACCAACTCCTTGTTGCCAGCATCACTTATGTTATTCATGAAACAGGAGCTTTTTTCCCACTTTCACTGAAAACCGTATCTCCTGTAGCAGACTTTGCAAAGCCTTCATAGCATAGGTTGGCTACAGGACTGACATATAGCCATAAAAAGATTTTACTGAAGCATTCAGAAGTCTTCAGCATGCACAGTTATGTCATGCTTCTAGATCGTAAAGGTTAAGACAGACACTTCTGAGGTGAACTCCTAACAGAATAACTGGAGAAAAGAAGTTCAACTCTCCCTTGCTTTACAGCTTACTGTACTTCTAATTGCTTGCCTAGGTGCAGTTCTCAGTTCAGAGGTCTATGCACAAATATATTTAAGTGCCTCCTTCTCCTTCCGGTAAACAGTCAGATATAAAATAAATATTAGCTCCTGTTCATGCTTTAATTGCATTAAACTATTGTTTATGAGGAAGGGGAAAAAAAATCCAGATATGATTGTATTGGACAGCATTCTCAACATCAATTTTGGATGCCTGTAAAAATTTGAATATAGCTTCTTCAAGTCATACTCAAAATATTTTTGGTATCTGTCTTTAGTAACAAATGAAAGAGAATGGCATCACAAGTCAAAAGTGCCACTAGAAACATGCCAATTTCAGTTAAAAAACATTACTGCTTCTTTTCACAATCAAAAGCATAAACTCAGCGCCTTCTGAGGTGATATCCAGAAGGAAAAAGGCATGAAACAGAGACAAAAGGAAACTGAAATTAATTGGTCTGCAGTTTACTTCAAGTAAATGCATAAATAGTATTCATGACTACTGTTAATCAGATTTCTTAAAACTTTTCACATCATATGATGCTATTAAGAAGTTTTCCCATGGAACTGAGCTATGTCAAACATCCTTTAAGTTAACTATGGCAAACATCCTTTAAGTTAACAGTCTCTCAGCCTTCAAGTCTCCTAACAGATTTTATGACAATCACTTTGGTAGACAGTACAGCTGCATGTTATGCTTACCCATGCTCCATGAAATTTATTGTGTATTCCTCCTCCTGATTTTGTACTTTATAGAGCAAACAAGTAATACATGATAAAAAGATCTGTGATGCATTTGATAACTACTGAGAATAAGAGTCAAATGTGATGGGTCCAGAAAAAACTCACAGTCATTTATGGTCAACTAAACTGATGGGAGCTAAGAGTCCTTTCTTCCTAGAAATAGGAGAGAAAGTTGTATTTGCACCCTAGTGATTGCAGATGAGCTAGTACTAAGGACACATAGAAATGCACAACTGCTGAAACATATGACCACAATAGTCACGCTAAAATCAAGAAATGATTGTCACACTTGAAATGGTTACTTTCCAAAGCTGCCAACAGCCAGGTCTTAATGTTATTACTACCTGGCAGACAATTTAAGTAACACCAAAGGCTGGTGAACACCAACATTGCTTCTATCAGACTACATTTACTGTCTTTCAAGACTTCTGTAAAAGACATTTCAGGGCAAAACATAATAACGTACTGTTTTTAATTGTTACCATAGAAAACCAATTTGCAAAACCACTGCAGTAAGTCTACACATCCTCCTACCTGACAGCACAGCCATCTAGATCTAACACTTCAACAGCAAACTCCTGTTCATTTCCACTACCCACCTAGTCCAGATACTAACAAAAATAATAAAGATATCCAAAGACAACAAACATTACTGTGGTTTCCAGCACACATACAGTATGGTAAGGGATAAATTGCAACCTTCGCAGAAAAATCTGTGACAGTGTTAAAAGTTATCACTACCTTCTTTTCCATAAGTTCTTACATCTTTGTGCCCATTTCCTCTGCCTCTAGCTTAAAAAACAACTCTTCCTACTAAATCCAAATGTCTCTTTCTTCCCAGACACCTGGATCTCTATGAGACTGGTACAAAGGGCCCTACTATTGAGTATCCAAGACTACAGCAGTCTGAGAACTATGCCTGCCTTTGTGGTGGCCCATGTTCCACAGTTTAAGAGCTTTAAAATGCTCCCCACACTCATACAATTCTGTCCTTTCTCCATCTATCTATTGTCTTGCACATACTTGTCTTTGAGAACTTCTACATCCCTGTTTCATGCCTCAGTTTTATTCCTCTCATAGAGAAATATGAGATAGAAAAGTTTAATAAAATTATAATGTTAACTGGGTTGGAAGTGTGTTCCCTTCTAAATCCAATTCAGCTATTCCAGAAATACTTCTGACTTAAGAAAAAGCCTTACCAATGTGTCCAGTCACAGAGGAGGATTTGTGGCAGAAAGACATTTTACCACATCCTCATACAAAAGAACAAGAAGTGTTAAGTCACAGGCAAATATACCCAAGAAAAGGCAAGCCTTACGTGACTGAAACCAGGAGAGGTACAAACCAGCAAATGCATTCTCCACTACCAAAACCTGACTCCTAGAATAAAAGGGAAGAAAGGAGGGAGGCGCACATGTATGGGAAGGTATACAGGGAGATGGCAAAGAAAATGTTAATGTATAGAGCTTTTACACTCTGTAGAAAGGAACCATGACTCATCAGACACAAAGTGCATGCACATTATGCAGCGCAAGTTGCAAGTCTGAGAATTACAGGAAACTCCAGGCCTGTAGCATTCGTTATGTACAGTTGATCAGCGAATGCAGATTAATTAAGATGCTTTTAATTTATTGTGTACGTACACCAATTCTACATGTGAAGCAGAAGCCACTCAACACTTTTCAAAAAGCACTGGACTCACTGCATAAACTCATGATAACTCTGCAATGCTCCCCAAGAGAGAATAACTGTCCATGGCAAGGGTATGTTCTTGCCACGATACAGAGCATGTAACAGCAACAAGTATGTGCCTGACATGATACAGAGCATATAACAATGACACAGAGGATATAACAACAGCAACAGGCTTACTACACATCTGGGAAAGCTGGATATATGGCCTCATACAAAAATACCTTAGCCACCAGGGCTCCACATGTGGATTTTCTAGAAATTGAAGCCCCACATAAAGTCCTGAATTGGTAATTTTTCAGTTCATGGTGTCAGAAGTTGTAAGTTTGACATCTGCAAAGTGGAAATAGCTTCACTTCCATCTTATTTTGCTTATTCTGTTCAGGACTGCGTGACTGACAATTTGAAAAGTAAAAGTTTGTGTGACCCAGCTAAGAATCATACAATGCCATTCTACAATTACTTTTCAGAAAGGAGTGACATTTTAAAAGATGTTAATTAGTCCAGTACTTCAGCGTTCATTATGGGTCAAACCTGCTTCTACGTTCAAAATTAGACAGGAAGAGAAGTCAGACCAAAGAAGTTTGTGTCGTCAGAGGCTGGAAATTTTATCACCTTCCCATATTACTCTTGATGTAGAGAAGAGCAGCATTCCAATTCTTTTTACAAGTACATGTGAATGAAAAATACATAAATACACACATTTCTTCTCCTGCCCCAAGTCACTAGAATACTTTGTTAATCCTTTGGGCCTTCTGACTAATGCTGATGAGAGACACAGGCAGGATTAAGGAATTCTACCCAGAAGATACATAATAGAACATACCTAAAAAAGAAAGTTTGCATTTTAAATCTTGGGATAGTTATCCTGAAATAGATTCTTGAGTAGACAAAACACTTCGTGTTCACATTTGACAGTCTTCTAGTTTCTGTTGACCCAAAGTGGACCTCCCAGAAGAATAAAAAATGCCTTGTCTTCTTCACAGTTTGCCCACTTCAGAATGGTTTGTGCATTCTGCACACCCCAAGATTCGGCGGGGGGGGCTCCCCCAAAAAAGTTATTTCTTTTGTTTTGTTTTTTTTTGGTTGGGGGGGGTGGGGGGATGGGTTGTTTTAAGTAGCACAAACACTATAGGTAGAATATGCCTATTCTAGATTACAGGTCCCATATGAATCAGCATGGCATATATTTCAGCACAAACACTACTTCCACAGTTCCTAAACTGAAGCATTCTAGTTTTGCCCTGCTTTTGGACTAGTTCTTTCAAAAAAAAATTTCCTGATCTGGTTACCTTCTAAATAGGTAATCACTAAATTTATACATAATTAAATTCGGAAGAAGAGTCTATCTCACAGTTAACAGCCTACCTGTAGTCCAGGACCGTTCTTTTAGTCCTAAAATTATTTGAAGGGGGCCAGAACATACCCTTACCAAAAGCAAATCTAAGCAGTATCTGTGTAGCTCATGAAGCACACTTGAGCACTTGTGTGCTACCAGAAGCACTTCAACAATCACACCAGTCAGGACTTAAAAACTGCGGCTTTAAAAAGCATTAATCTTGCTGATTGTGGACAAAACTCAAGACTGCTACTCCTCTTTCTCTCCCATATATCAGGCCCAGTCACTGAAGAACCTACATGGCAAGTGGGAAACACTTCTAAATCAAAACCTAACAGATTAATCTTATTGTTGGTATCTACTAAAAAAGTTGCACAAATCACAGAAAGTGGGATTGGACAGTATTTCAAGAAGTTGATCACTTAGTTGACCCCTGCCACGGGCAAAAAAGCCAGATTGTGTCAGAATTACTCCCAGTAGATGTGCATCTAGTTTGTTCTTAAAAAAACACCACTGAGGTAGATTTCACACCCTCCTCAGGCAGCCTATTTCAGTGCTTCATTATCTTTGCCATTAGGCAGATTATCCTAATATCTAGCCTGAGGGTGCAGTTTGACATTACATATAATCCCACTCCCCCCTTGCCATGTGCTCCTGCTATTTCCCTCCCATTGAATTCAGTGGTGATGCAGTCAGAGGGCAAGTAGGTTAAAGAAGTTGACCTGACAGAAAACCAGCTGTCAGACAAACAATCTCTCCTTCCCTATTCCTTCCCCCTGTTCAGACGCTTCCATCATACCAGCTTATGACTTTAAGCTATAAGAGTGCCACATTATAAACAATGGAGAGGAGAAATACGTGAATGAACTACAGGATGAAGGGGAAGTGTAAGATCAAATAGCATCCTAAAACCTTTCTTCCTATAATTTAAGACCATTTCTTTGTCCTATTCCCAGTGGATAAAGCAAAGTTTACAGCTTTATGTAATAATAAACACTTATATGCAGCTTAAGACTTGCATCTCTACTCAGCTTTTCCTTCTGTAGACTAAATGGACCCTTTTTCTTTCAGGCTTTCGTTTCTCTACACCTCTGATCACTCTTCATATCCCCTTCTGAACTTTCTCTAGTTCGGCCACATCTTTCTCAAAGTACGGTGCCCAAAACCGAGCACAGTGCTCTACTTGAGGCCTCAACAGCATCAAATAAAGCAGGATTACTTCACATGCTTTATCATGTGTGATATTTATGTTGTGATCTACTATCACATTTGGATCCTCTTCTTCATGATTATGGTCTAGTCTCCATAGAGGATGTAAAGTTGACCATTTTTATTAACATGCTGTAGCTTGCGGTTGTCCCTAACAAACCACATGCCATTTTTTTCCAGGTAGTGTCTCCTAATTAATTGTAAATTCAACTCCTATCCTCTGCAACTATTGTTACCTTTCCTAGCATCACCTTTAAAATTTATAGTTTCTTAGACATTAACGAAAACATCACGTAGTAACTGGACCTAAGATCCTGCCTCACAGAGATTTGTGCTTGATACAAAGAGACCAAGATCAAGACTGCCCCTCTTTAAAACATGCTTGATACACAGTCCCCTTAATTCAGAAGTAATATTCCACTACCTTTGCTAAAGTCACCTCATTGCCCTGTTTTAGGCTCATGCTCCTTCAGATTTACGTGGCAACCAAAGGACAGATGAATTTCCAGTACTTTCCTGCACCCCTATAAATTTACAATCATAGAAGAGCTATTAATTTTTGCATTATCTGGTGAGGGAAAAAGAAGCTGAGATGGATGGATGGATACATGCATGGATTAAGTAAACCTCATATCAGAGTGCTTCCCAGAAGTTATCTTTAAAGTGCAGTTTAAAGTAGGGGGAAAAAAAAAAGTGGGAGGTTCTGATAAAGATACTCATGT